TGAGTCAATTAGCTTGAGCAGGAACAGCTGAGTTGAACCAGCCAGCCAGAAATCAGAAAGAGCTAAAAAGGGTAAGTTTGAGTTTATTAAACAGTAAGCCTGTGAGACAACAATTATATCAGGAGAATAAAAGTTTCTTTTACAAAAGTGACTTTTTCTTCTTTTGCCACTCAGTGTGGGCTGGACCCATGTGAGAGCCTGCTGATGAATTTTAAGTTGAATCCACAAAATATTGAAGGATGGTGGCCTGGAATGGAGTCAAAACAAGGAGACCCAAACACTTCCTCTTCCAGCCTCTTTCCCTGAAGCTTGGGAGAGCAGTGTGAGAGGTTCACACAAAGGCCTGGAGTAGCCACAGAGCCATGGCCGGTGGCCAACTGGAGCTTTGCTTTCTAGTGCACAGTGCCATTCTACAGAGGGTCCCTCAGCTGCTTTCTCCTATAGTCCTATTTAGATATTCCTCCCTCCCCCATGCCAGTTATAACCTCTCTCTCTCTCTCTCTCTCTCTCTCTCTCTCTCTGTGTGTGTGTGTGTGTGTGTGTGTGTGTGTTTGTAGGAACAATCTTTTATTAGAGGAGGGTTCATCAATCCTTCTGGCTGCCGCCTTCCTCATGGCTGCCAGCACGTTGCTCAGCTCCTCCCACTTTCTCTTGTCACAGATGTGTGTACCTGCCGTCTTCTTCATGAGCTTGAGTGCGTGTTTGTCCTTGAGGTGTGAGGCTTCACGCCTACGAGCGGCAACATGGAGTTGCTCAAAGTGTCCAAGGACTACATTTCTCTTTACAGTGTCTTCAACAAACAAGCAGCTGACATCTCTGTTGTCTTGGGGAGCTTGGTTTTGCTTTCTTATCTGCCCATGTCCCTCTACCTGCTCCTTACCCTGCCCTCAGATGTATCTTCCCTGTCCTTTCTTGACCACCTCCTACCAGAACCGCTCTCTCCTTGGGCACAGTTTGCACATGCTCAGGCCTCTGTTCATCTCAGTCTTTGACACCTCCCCATCCCCCCTCACGTACAGTCCTCTTCACAGCAAGATAACTGTCATTCTCAGGAGCCTGCGCTGATGTCCTTGCTTGCAGCCAGTCCCCAGGAGCAAGACAGTAGACTGTTGATTTTCCCTCAGAAAAGAAGGATGGGGAGGGAAAGCTTGAGACTCCAGCCACCTCTCCAAGACACTGCTATGCAATTTTGCACTAATTGCATATGGCCTCAGGGGCTTGGGTGGTGCCAGGCTATACAGGCTGGGGTGGGGTGGGGGGAGGTGGGAACTAACGAAGGGGGTTGCAGTTTTAGGGAAACCATTATCCATGCTTGGTGAATTTTCCAGTGTGGCTGCTTTGAGGTCACCAATGCTCCTACACATAAGCCCTCAGTAATGCTCTTTAGTTATGCCCAATAAATTCACTGTTCCCAAACTGAACTTCGGTGGAATCGGCCTTATTATTGAGCCCTTGATAGGAGGGTAGACATTGTTTACATCTCTCCAGAGACAGAAGGCCCCACACCCTCCTCAGGGTATCAGTCATGTCAGCCTGATGCTTTTGTTCCCTGTCTGTGGGTCCCAAGAGGGTGAGGCCTTTCTGTCATGGTCCCTACTCTAGGATGTCACAGGGACTAAAAGGCTTTTGCAAAGAGATGCTGTGGACACAAAAATGCTTCGCTCCTCATATGCCAGAGAGAACAGCCAATATCTCACCTGTAACCTAATTTTAGGAAGGCTCCTGTCACTGCTGAAGCTATGGGACCCAAGTGCACACATGTGATCTTCCTGGAGTGCTCTCTGTCTGGCTCCTTGGATCGCCCAAGCTTGCTGGACATTTCACTGCTTTCTCTTTCTCCTGGAATGTCCTCTTCTGTTGCTCACCTGACAAACCCTGTATGGGCTCAGGCTAGGCAGAAACATCATTGCACTGGAGGTGCAAAGTTTTCCCAGACAAGTGTCTCTGAGGGATGCTTTCACAGCATCTGGAACCCATCTTTACAGAGATGTGCAGAACTGAATGTTGGTACTGCATGCCCAGTAGACCCACTGAAAGGCAATGTCGCTTTCCCTAGGGATGCTGGGAAAAAGGAGTTGCTCTTCTCTTTCCCTAGTCTCTCTCTGGCTTCTGTGATGTCTTTCCAGTTTTCTCAGAATGATGCAGCTTATGAAAAATGAGTTGTCATTTCAGCTTGGTCCAGATGCTCACTGCTGATGTAGAGGTGGAGTTTGTTAATGACACCCAGGTCGACAATACAAATCAACTCTTAGAAGTTGTGCTGATTGTCTAGGTCTGTGTCTTGTATATGGTAAGCAAAATGGAAAACAGCCTTCTCTTTAACATGGCTGGTGGCAATACGGTCTTGGGTTCCAGGGATTGGTGATGTTAAGTTAAATACTAAAGGCTTTATGCCGACTGGAAAGGTGCTCAGAAGATGGGTTTCCAGGGAAACCTTATCTGGACTGGACCCAAGGGATGAACTCTGAAGGCAGCATGACTGAAGGCCACCTGTGGAGCTCTGAAATAGAGAGTCTGGGTGTGCATCCCAGTATTGCCTTGGAAGGGTCATGTGACTCTTGAAAAACATTTCAACATAAAAGAAAAGGCATGTGAGCAGAAGTGAGGCCTGCTATGGAACTACCCTTCAAAGAGCTTTATGAAGAGAAGTGCAGGTTGACGGCCTTGTGTATCCATGATGTAGCTCAGAAGTGGGAGAGATTAGAAGACCTGGTGTCATACTGTAGGCAGCCATATTGGAGTGGGGCTTAGTTTCTATTGCTGTGATAAAACATCATGACCTAAAGGAGAAAGGGTTTGTCTGGTTTATATCTCCTGAATCACAGTCCACCGAGTCATATCTAGCTTGAGATCACCCTTTCTTTGCACTTCAGCCAGTACCCAGGTAATAGCTTTCATCAGAGGCTCTGACAAGGTCTCTTGGTGTCTATGACATTTATTTTCTGCCCTTATTCCTGCTAGCCCATGTTGTTGGCTGATGTTGTGGATAGCCCTGGTGCTGTTTGTATTTTGATGTTAATTCAGCTTCTCTAAGAAGGGCTGTCTGGGATGAGGAGTGAATCAGGACTTCATGTGACCTTTCTAATGAATAAAGAAACCAATCACTGGGCAAGTAGGCGGGTTTCCAGGTCAAGAGAAGACAAGAGGCAGGAAACAGATACGGGCTTTTGGATATGGACAGCAAGAGATGAAAATGTAGATAGCAGAGACCCTGTTTGAATCCACTACTGGAGGATTTAACTTAGGATGGCTTATAATTTGGATGTTAGTTGTTGTGCCCAGCAATTAAGTTATCATTGATTCTGAACTAAGTTTGTGTGGTGTTTTCCTTCATGTGGTGACTCAAGTGGGTTCCAGAAAAGTATGGCAGCAAAGTGTGGGTTTGCAAGAAGTGCAACCCCGAAAAGGTCATGGGAATTTCGAAATACAGCTCGGGGCTAGTGTGGTAGTGACTCACCAGAGGAAGCTTAGCGAGTAGGGTAGAGAGATTTCAGAGAACTGAGTCAGAGAGTCTTCAGAAGATGAGAACAGGCTGAGCTGGTCAGCGTAGCATGAATTGCATTTTTTAGTATTTCCCACAACAGGCTGATTTAGGAGAGAACATGTGGGCAAGATGGGCATGTTCATTCCTTCTCAGAAACAGAAAGGTCTGGAAGCTGAACACTGGGATTGGTGGCTTAATATGCATGACACATTAGTCATCAGAATCCCAGAAGGAGCTGTCCATGGCCCGGGTTAGGAGCACCCTGGTTGGCAGTAGCAGGGGATGAGCTGAGATGTTGGTCTTCACTTTCCCACCTTGTTTGAATCAGTGTCTCTGCTGCTCATTTCATATGTCAGGCTAGTTGGTCCACCGGCTTGCACCTATTCTCCTTCCTCTGCTTTCTACTTCACTGTAGAAATGGGATTACGGTTACATTCTACCATGTGAAACCTAGATTTATATAGGTTCTAGGTGTTCAAATTCAGGTTATCCTGCTTGCATGGCAAGGGCTTTGCTCACTGAGCCATCTCCACAGCCCTTCTTTTCTCACAAGTGAGGACCAGAAGCCAAGGACTTTGCCAGTCTTTAAGTGAACAGCCAGGAGGAGAGAGTTTTAGTAAGGCTACTCTTATCTTTCGATAACTTCATAGAGGAAGCTTCTGTGAGAAGGCTCTTTGCCCTCCTGGGAACAGGGTCTGTGCTCAAGACTCATAAGGACACCCTGGCCTGGTAAGAGATAACTAGAAACCCAAGAACCTCCTGGTCTCGTGTCTTGTGGGTTTTCTCATTCATTCATTCATTCATTCATTCATTCATTCATTCATTCATCCTTTCATTCTTCTCTTGAAGTCTGTGGTATGCACAGGTCTGTGCCAGGAGCTGGGATGGTGTCTGGAGTTTGGGGACAGAAGGGACAGCACACCTGGTTCCCATTCACCAGGGAGTTTGGGGGAGGCCAAGATCCTAGGGATGGGACCAGAAGTGTGGCTGACCATAATGTGAGGATGTGACACTGCATTTGGGAGTGTATGAAGACCAGGAATGTTTCTGCTTTGTTTGGAGCAAAGCTATATTTAGAAAAGATATGGGCTGAGTAGCAGAGGGGAGACATGGACTCTTCTTCCCCGGGACTCCATTTCTCCATGTTTCTATCTGGCAAACCCTTCAAGTTTCCAGCCAGAGACAAAGCATGGTGCCTGGTTACATGTGCTTTTTACCGCAATACATATTAAGTATTTCCTGTGCGATGACTCATCCGTCAGCTGTGACCCGAATGTGCTTAGTGCGGAGTCTTGCACACAATTGGTGCTTCCTGAGTCGTCTTGCTGGCCTCCAGGTGGAGAATAAAGGTTCTGACTGTATGAGCAGGAGCACTGTGCAGGGCAGGGATCCCCAGTTTCACTCCCAAGCTTGCCAAAGACATCCAGTGAGCAGTAAGGTCATTTCCCGTTTGCTCTGAGAAGCAGAACAAAATTTGTGGTCAGTTCCCTCCGAGCTTTCCTCTAGCTCAAAACGTGTGTGCATTGCAGTGGAGGGCTACTTACAAGAGTCTGAAGGGCCCACTGGGCAGTGGCTGGATTTCCCATCCTTCACTCTCTCCTCTTTGCTCCCCTTACCTCTATCGCTACAAGACCCACAGACCCCTCTGGATGCCTGTAGATACGGGGTTTCCTGCCTGCACTGGTTTCTGGAGATCTGACTTCAGGCTCACAGGTAACTTCGGAGGCACAGCAGTCTCTGGCTTCCAGCCCCTCATTCTGCGCAAGGCTGATCTGTGGGGTCATCCGGAGACCAGTGCTCCTGCATCACGTGTCCCACTTCCCACAGATAGGGCTCGAGGGTCTGCAGCTGTTCCAGGAGATTAATTATGTGGTGCTAGAGGGCGGAAGGGGATGCCTTTCTGGATCATGCATTGTGCCCATGACAAATGACTGGGTTTCCTAAAAACAGAATTGATCTTTCCACTGATGGTTGTACTAGAGGAAGCTCAAGCTAGATTCTGCAGATTGTTCATGATTCGTCAGTGTGGGAGCCTCCTCACTGATGGCAGATTAGCCTTCCTCCTCTGCTTTCTTGGCAAAAAACAAAAAACAAACAAACAAACAAACAAACAAAACCTAGCCAAAGAGGTTTGGGAGTGTTCCTTGCTGTTGTGGTTTAAACGTGACACGTTCCCCGTGGGCTTACATTTCTGAACACTTGGTCACTCGCTGGTAGAGCTATTCAGGAAGGTTGTGGAACCTCTAGGGGGTGAAGCCTTGGTAATTGAAATAGGTCATTGTGTGTGAGCCTTCAGGTTTTACAATCCAGCCTCTGTTCCTGTTCACTTTCTCCTTCCTAAGTGTGGCTGCAGAGTAACCAGTAGCCCTCTGATCCAGTGGCCATGCCTTCTCTGCCAGTATGGAATATATGTCCTTGAACGTGAGCCAAAATATACACTTTCTTCCTTAAGTTGCCTTGGTTTTGGTGTTTTGTTACAGTAGCAGATGCACCTACTTAGCATCGTACTTGCCACACTCAGTCAAGGATACAGGAACACATGTACTGTGTGCAGGCTCACAGAGTCCAGCCTTCGATACCACTATCTACATGGCCTGAAGAAAGTTAGTTTGGTGTCTATACAAAGAGATGGCCCGTGTGGATGTATATGTATGTCTGGTACTGGTTAGGGTGCAGAATACACCCTGGATGGATCTTTCTATTGCCTGGACATCTTCAGGAAGGAGCTGCCATGACATATTTCCAGCCTTACTTGCTGGAAGGAGCATCACTAAAGGGATGGGCTTGCACACACTGTTAACTTACTTGATTGGTCCTGCTTAAGTATGATTCTCCAGCGGGGTCCACCACACACTCAGTGCTCTGCATTATGTCCTTTCCCCTCAGAGGGCTGAGTGACATCGTCCAGCACACTCTTGTCACCAAGTCTCTCCTATGTTGAGAAGAGGAATCAGGCATTTGCTTTGCTCTGGACAGGAGTCATATGTCATCCCAGCGTGGTGATTCTCTTTGTTGAAGTGAGGTGGGGTAGTGTATTAACTCCTTGCCTCATCAATGCAATGAAATGCCCAATGAAAGCCACTGAAGGGAGGAATGAAAGCCACTGAAGGGAGGAGGGCTTATTTTGTCTCACAGTTTGAGGGTACAGTTTATCATGGCTACAAAGGCACGGAGGTCGAAATGTGGGCAAGCGGGTCACATTGCATCTGCACTCCGGAAGCAGAGAGATGAATGAAGTGGAAACTTAAGGGTTCTTTGGAAAGCCAGTTGTGTTGGATGGTGTTTTGCTGGGGCAAACATATGAAGGAGTGCTTTCCTAACATGGACACAGGTGAAAGGCTAAGACAGACTCGTGAAGGAACGTTTAGCTGAAACAGACACAGGTGAAAGGATGTTCTGCTAAAGCAAGCATGTGAGAGGACACGTGATGAGGGATGCTTTCTTAACGACACTCACGTATTGATCCGCCTTACACTGTGCAGTTGAGCTGCATCTGTTGGGACTCCATAAAGAGAAACACACCAAAAACTTGTGGTGTGCTACAGATTTTTTTGCTGCTTCCACAGACTTGGGCTCCCTCCTTCCCTCCTTCTTCCTTCCTTCCTTCCTTCCTTCCTTCCTTCCTTCCTTCCTTCCTCCCTCCCTCCCTCCCTCCCTCCCTTCTTTCCTTCCTTTCTTTTTAAGGGCAGGTCTCTCACTGGCCTGCCTCCCTCTGGAACTGCAAGCCAAACACACCTCTTCTGCATAAGTTGCTTTATGTCAGGTTATTTTTCACAGTGCCAACGTGAAACTAGGATACATGGTAAAACAATGACTGCCTTTAGTTTGATATGATTTATGCAAATGTAATTTCATTCTTAACAGTGGCCACACTGAACATATAGTTAATATGTTTCTGGAAATTTTAACAGCCAGCTCTTGGTGTCAAGTATAAACTGTTGGTTTTTTTTGTCTATCTATCATCTATCTATCTATCTATCTATCTATCATCTATCTATCTATCAATCATCTATCTATCATTTATCTATGGTTGTCATTGCTAATCTTGTCTTTAATCTTTAGGAAGTTCTAGATCATCACATGCCTTTCCTAATGTCTTAAAGCCCTTGGGGCTGTGGGAAGCAGAGCCTGAGAGTTTAGCTACAGAAAGGCTCAGAGGGTAGTCACAAGTCAAGACACAAGTCAGTTGTCTATACTGAGCCTCTGTCTGTGGCCTGAGAAATGTGGACTTTTAGGGACCACCTCCCAGGAGATGTCAGATGTGGAACTACTCAGACCTGGTGTGAGGTCAAGTCTTGCAGAGTCAATATGGGAAGCCCAGCCCACTGATGCCCTCTGACCCCGTGACCTTTACAAATAAGGGAGCAGAGGGTCACATGCTAAGTCAAGAACTCACTCAAGAACAGAAGCTAGGGGCAGTCCAGTGGGATCTTTAAACATGGCAGCATGTTCCCTGTTGTATGAATGGTTTCCCTAGGAAGACACGAAGAAAAGTCTACTCCTTCTTTATACGAGCTCAACAACAAAACAAAATATGACTTTACCAAAGCCAACTTGATGAATCAATGGGTTTAGTGGGTTTTCTTACAGACCATGGTGAGAGCTTACTTAGAGGAGTAAGCAGCCATTCTGCAAAATCTCACGCAGCACAGATGATGGCTTCCCCAGTGGTTTTCAGGGAAAATACTTTTCCTTGATTATATTTCCTATTTTGTTTTTTAACTGCCATGGGTAATTTCTTAATCGAATGGTGATTGCCTTCAGTCTGGTCCTAGAGATCTCTTTAAACTTTGCTCTTCCTTGATACATCCCCTTCCTGCTAGCTAGATCCCCTCCTCTCTGGTGCCATGGCTTTCAAAGACAGTGGATCATTCAAACAATGCAGAATTAACCCACACAGAGCAACTGGGAATCATTCATAGGCTAAAATGAGCACAGGTTTTGTCTAGGGGGTTGGGAGTGTTAGTTGCTTCAATAAGTGGAGGCATCTTGATGCTAAACCCATGTCAAGGCTAAAAGCACAGAGTCTCTTTCTTCCCCTGGGAACAGTCTTCTTCAAGGTGTTAAGATGCTGGAGCTGTAAGGGGCCTGATGCCTCCTCTGCAAACAGCTGGGGCTTCTCCACCGGGGTGATCCTCTTCACTCTCTGTCATTCTATGTGACTTGATAGGGACCCAGTATGGCAGGTCCTCAGAAAATGAGTGTTTCTGGGTCTAGGAAGACAAATGTCAAAGCAGGTCCCTGAAGCCATGTGACTCATATGTGCAGTCTACAAATGCTGACCTCGGTCTGGGGAGACGGCTCAGCTGCACAAGCATATGCACTTGAGTTTTGTTCTCAGAATCCATAGTTTAAAAAGCCAATCCATGGGAGCACAGTTGCCCTGCAGGAATGTAAGACCGACACTAGCTAGACTCAGTGTTTCAAGAAGCGACTGAATCCAGATGCCCAGAGACTGAGGTAAAGGTGCAAGGGATGTGTCATGGTTTGAGTATGCTTGGCCCAGGGAATGGCAGTATTTGGAGGTGTGACCTTGTTGGAATAGGTGTGTCATTGTGGGTGTGAGCTTTAAGACATTCATCCTAGCTGCCTGGAGGTCAGTAATCTGCTAGCAGCCTTCAGATGAAGATGTAGAACTCTCAGCTCCTCCAGTGCCATGCCTGCCTAGACGGTGCTATGCTCCCACCTTGATGATAATGGACTGAACCTCTGAACCTGTAAGGCAGCCCCAGTTAAATGTTGTCCTTTATAAGACTTGCCTTGGTCATAGTGTCTGTTCACAGTAGTAAAACCCTAACTAAGACAGGATAGTAGAGAGTGAGATACAAGTCTCTGATAGGAGGCCGACCACCTGCCTTAGTGTGTTTTCTTTTTGCTATGATAAAATATGCTGACAAAGGCTGTTTAGGGGAGAAAAGGTCTCTTAACAGTCATATCACATGACCAGAGTGGGGCAATCCCGAACTATGGAATGACTGACTGTCTCTGTCCCTGTGACTCCGTATAATCTGCTGGCTGGAGGTGAGACTTGAGGGATTTTCCAAAACATGTTCACGTGCTGCCCTCTCTGCTCGCCAGCTCTCTGAACAAAACCTAATGTAAAGACTCATGCTTCTCTAATCATTTGCCTTTGTGGTGACAGCAACACAAGCTCCAGAATTCTGATTATATTCATTGGTGGCAACACTGGGAACAGTTCAGCTAACCTTCACAGTCCCTGGGAGGTGGGTATCAGTGCCAGCCTACAAAGGAAGATGGGATGGTCCAGTGCTCAGGTGCAGCAAGGTAGGCAGTCTACTCTCTGGAGGCGTGTCCTGCAATCCTAGAGTCCGCTCACACCCATGCCTGTGGGTAGAAAGTAAAGGACAATCCACCTGAAACCTTGTAAATGATGAAGACAGTTGTCAACTCAAGCTATCTGATGTGAGATTTGCAGTCCTAAAAGACATCAGGCTTCTTGTGGTACGTGTGTGTGTGTGTGTGTGTGTGTGTGTGTGTGTGTGTGTGTGTGTGGTGGTTTGAATAGGAATGGCTCCTATAGGCTAATATATTTGAATGTTTGAAAGTGGTGCTACTTGAAGTTAGGGGCATGGCCTTATTGGAGGAAGTGCGTCACTGTAGGGTAGGCTATGGCGTTTCAGAAGCCCAAGCCAGTGCCAGAGTCTCTCTTCTTGCTGCTTGCAGATCTGGATGTAGAATTCTCAGCTCTCTCTCTCTCTCTTGCTCTCTCTCTCTCTCTCTCTCTCTCTCTCACGAACGCACGCACCCACACACCATGTCTGCCTGCCTGCCATCATGCTGATGATGGATCAAACCTCTGAAACTGTAAGCCAGCCCTAATTGAATGCTTTCCTCAGTAAGAGTTGCCATGGTCATGGTGTCTCTTCACAGCAATAGAATGCTAAGACAAAGTGGCAGGACTTACAGCTGTCATGGATCCCTGATGAAATGGGAAGGCTCCTTCCAGCCATGTTTTCCCTACTTACAGAATGGAGATAGTATCATGCTCTGTGGAGTTGCAGGTCACCGTCAGTGGTCGCTGGCATCGAT